CGGGACACACGGGCAGCCCGGGACACATGGGCAGCTCCGCGGGCTCCAGCTCCACATGGGACATACGGGCAGCCCAGGACACACGGGCAGCTCCGCGGGCTCCGGCTCCTCACGGGACACACGGGCAGCCCGGAACACATGGGCAGCTCCGTGGGCTCTGGCTCCACATGGGACACACAGGAGCCCGGGACACACGGGAACTTGGTACACACGTGCAGCTCCGGGGCTCTGGCTTCCCACGGGACACACAGGCAGCCCGGGACACACGGGCGGCTCCGCGGGCTCCGGCTCCGCGGTGCCTATATGGAGCGGCGGGCTCTGCTCTACGCACCGCCCCTGGGGCCGGCGGGACCCCCAGCCACCCTCCCCGCACCCCGAGGGCCGAAACCTCCCAAACGCACCCGGGCACCCCCATATCCAGCCTCGTTCACACGCCTGGAGCGGCAACCTGCGGCCGGGGGCGGCAGCAGCAGCGGCAGGAGACGTTTTTATCCCGTTCCTCTCAGTCTCAACACGCCCCCGGGCAGCCGCGCGCCGAAGCCCCCGGCCCAGCTGGCCAGGACGGCCACCGCTTTCGCCCCTGCCGGGGGGGTCCCGGGGCACTAATTGCACATTATGGGGTAACAAGGTGCCAGACGCCGCGGTGGGTCCAGAATCAGGCGTGCTGAGAGCGAGGGGCCATCCAAAGGAGCATTTCCCTTCCCAAACCGGGCTGCAAAGGCCAAGGGGGCTGCTGCTGAAGGGGCCACCAAAGAGACAGAGCTGGGTTCAGCCGCAGAGGTTGGGCTAACCCCGTCCAAGCTGTCACCCCTTCGCATCATCCCTGCCCACCTGCAGCAGAAGGGAYCCCAAGGAAAGCGCAGGGCTGCTCCCGAGCGGCCCACGAAGGGCCCAAGCGCTCGGCTGGGGCGGGGGAGCCGCCCGGGAGCCGCTCCGAGCTCCCGTGGGAAGAGGGTGCCCATGGAGGCGGCTGATTGCCCTGTCAGCTCCTGGCACCGCCAGGGAGGGGAGCTCGGCCCGGCTGGACGCGGGCCCGGCCCAGGCCCAGGCTCAGGCCAAGGCTCAGACCAGCCCTGCTGGGGCTGCAGCTCCCCAGGGCTCCATCCCACCAAGCAGCGCCCAGGCGGGCACCRCGGTGCCACTAACTGCTCCCTCCTCGGCGCCCACGGGAACGGAGCCTGCCCGGACCCTGCGGGAACAGACCTTGCGCCTCCTCTTGCCCAGCCCTCCATCCCCTCCTGCCCATCCCAGCCCCTGCCCGAGCTCCGCAGACCCCTGGCTACAGGGAGGCCGCGTCCCCGGCTGTGTCCCCGCTGCGTCCCCGCTCTGCGCCAGGTCACCACCCCGCTTGCCCATGGTGCTGGGCAGCGCGGCCTGGGCACCGCACAGAGGCCACGGGTACCCCGGTGCTGCCGTCARCGCGGCCGAGGGACGTGGCCACCGAGGCTCCAGATGGGAGGAAACCCTTGGGCGGGACCACCCCACCAGTTCAGAGACACCCGGGCCAGAAACGGGGGCCGTGGGGCTCCCTGCAAGCGCCGAGACGCCCCCGCGCTCCGGCAGCGAGCGGAGCGGCCGGATTTCATCCTTCCCTCCAGCGGCCTCGGCGAGAGCAGCTCCCCAAAACCCCCGCGAGGCCGAGACCTGTCCCTGCTCCGCAGGCGGGACAGGGGCACCCCTGCACCCCGCGTCCCAGCCCGGGCGAGGTKGGGAGCCGCTCGGGACCCGAGGCACCGCGGGACACGGGGACACAGTCCGGCTGGGACGGTGCCCGCGGCGGCGACGTTCCCACAGGGGCTGCAGGTCCGGGGCTCGCAGCACCGTGGAGCTGCCTCGTTCCGCACGGCAAAAACCCGCACGGCCACCGCGGTAAGCGAGTAAGTTAGGAGATCTGGGGGGGAAGMGAAAGCAAAGGGGAGCGGAGGAGCCCGAGGCCACGGGCCTCTGTCTGGCGTGACCTGTCCTGGCCGCGCATCCCCAGCGCCCTCGKGATTGCTCCTCCGGCACCCGAGCAGGACACGGATCCGGAGCCGGCAGTGCCCCTGGCACTGAGCCGGGCACCGGGCCCGGCTCCTCCAGGCCACCCGGTTCCGGTGCCTTTGTCCCCTCCTCCCGGGTGCYGAGTGCCGGGTGGCTGCGCTCAGCAGCGGGACACGCGCTGTGGATCACGGGAGAGCTGGGATGGCAGCAGGAAGCTCCATCCCAGCACCAGCCCGGGACCCTCTGCGCTGTCCCGTGTCATCCCTGCCAGGGAATGYGGTACCYGGCTCCTGTGCAGAGCAAGGCCCCRCRCGGGACATTTGACGTGCCAGGGTCTCACCGGGATCCCCCTGAAACAAGAAGCCTGGACCCACTCCGAAATGGGGTCTGCTGCTCCGGATCTAAGCGACGGGAGCTGCCGGTGCCAGCTCAGCAGCCTCCCTCAACCTGCCCMTTATCCAGCCACTTTTATTTCCTCGCTCTGGAGTTCCTGGGCCCCGCGACGTCCCCAGGCCGCTCCTCYCCGGTCCAAACCCACATGCCAATCCCACACGGAGCAGGGCGCCCCGACACCCATCCCGCACGGAGCAGGGCACCCCGACACCCATCCCGAGCGGGCCGGTGGCGGCTCGGTGCCCTCCTGGCTCCGGCCGGGACGCTCTGCTGTTCCCGGCAGCAAAGTTGGGTGCCGGGGCTGGCGGGCGCGCGGCGGTGGCGGCTCCGGAGGCGGCGCAGGCCAATGGGAAGCGTGGAGCATGATGTCACCACGCTCATGGCAGCGTGGCTCCGGCTAACAAAGAGAACAATGAGGCGGCCCGGCCACCCGCRCCCCTGTCCCGCGTCCGGCGCCGCTCCGGCCGCTCGGCCCCCGGGATGCCTCCCGCTCGGCCAAGCCCAGCTTGCTGCCCTCCAAAGGAGCCCCCCGCCTTTTCCCTTTTATTTCGATTTTTCCCCCAAAAAGGGGAGGGTCTTGAGCTTTCCGCTCCCCTATGTTCGGAGGTTCCTGGGTCGTGGTCCCGAGCACAAAAGGGGTCCCTTTTGTGACAGGTCCGTGCAGGGAGGGGGTGCATGCACCCGTGTCCCCAATGCACCCCAAGTTTCACCCATTGCAAACGGGCCCGTAGAGAACCCAGGCGCCCGTTCTGCACAGCGAGCCCGCAACGCCCCAGTTACCCCGAGTTTGATAGAGAGTGGGAGAAAGAATAATAATCAATAAGAATATTAAAGGAACGAAAGGAGGGCGGCCAGTGCCGCCCCCCGCGCAGCCCGGCTCGGTCCCGCAGCCCGGACAACTTCGCGCCGGGACGTGCGGCCGCCCGCAGCGCCCAATTACCGCCCTAAGGGCTAATTAGGGGAGGGGGGCTGCCCGGGGGGGGGCGCCGCGTCCACCAAGGGACAAAGGGCGGCGGCGGGAGCCGAACCGGCGGCCGGGGCGGCGCGGGCGCGGACAAAGGCGGCGGGTCGGCACCGGTACCGGCACCGGGAGCGGGGCGTTACCTTGCCGCCCCACGATCTCGGCGACGTGCTCGGAGCTGGGCACGGGCACGCACTCGGTCATGTTGACGCTCTTCTTCCTGGCGCCCAGGGCGCTCATGTGCTCGGCGAGCAGCGGGTGCG